GCCGAGATAGAAGTGAGTAGTGCAGAGGAGGAGCAGTAGTGAGGAATCAGTTTTAATTGCTAGCAGCTATCTGAGATAATAGAGACTTCGATATTTGGAAGCTGTTCTGTAAAGTGCGCTGAATTGGACTGTATGGTGTGATGTCTGCAGTTGGGATTTCAATCCTGCGATTTTACGAATAAAGATCTTGAGATTTTTCAGAGATTGTTTTCATCGACTCTCTCAATCAACATGAACGAAGCGTAGTGCAAAATTGATTGTTTTAAAGTTTTACAGAAATAATGTATCTCATTTTACAGCACATCTTATGATATAAATTATTTATGAATATGTGTTTCTTTAAAAATTTTACATCATTTCTATCTGATTGGCCAAACATGGCCAGTGGTTCTGGTCGCAGACATGTCGACATGGTTTCGTCGAGTCGTGGGTTCAGGCCTATTTGCCACTTCCTACCGAAAATTAAGTGACGTACGTTATATCTTTTGAGACTTTAGAGTCCTTCCTTTTGGCGTGATATAGAGTTTGGAGGTACCAGGTCAGGTGTTGTCCTCTGATCACTTGACCTAGGCTCAAAGGTACAGTCTGTCTCCAATCGCACTCTCGTGTCGTGTCTCAGTTCGATGTTGATGACAGTCACTCATTCCCTCACATTCTTCCTGTCGTGAAATTATCAACAATGGAATTTCATTAACATTTTCACGTGCAAGAATTGTAATTGTTAAGGCTTAGGGCTTCTGGAATATTATTAATAGATTTCCACTAAATTTACAATTTATGGAAATTTTATTATAATGTTATTTAGTACCAAAACATTTCATTCGAATGATGAATGCAACAACAGAACAATGCTACTTAAATATGTTGAATGAAATTTATCTTAATTTATTAGTGAATTCTGACAGTTATTTGTAGTCTTTTGGGAAAATTCGATTCTAATTTTCAAACTAGACTAACTTATACATAATACTATAGCATGAACAAAAATTTATTAGAAAATAGTTCAAATTTATTATATCTGATAATACATATCGTAAATAACCTGGCTTCCAATTAACAGTTACGTGATGGTTTGGCTTTTCAATATAAGTGCGACACCCTTATATTTTAACAATAATGAGCAAAATGAATCATATTGAAGTACGAGACAGAGAGTTTTCTCGGCTCTATTTTTATAAGTGTTGCTGTGATTTTCTGAGTTTTTGTTGTAACACACTACCTTACACACATATATAAAATATCAAAGATAAATTGATTTTGTTCATTATTAATTACTAAGGGTGTTTGTATACTAATGAAGCGGCTATATTTTCAAAACACATCAAATTTGAATCAGATTTTGGTTTTCAAACCAGTTCCTTCGATTGGAAGAACACATTACCGCGACAGACAAATTTTTAAACTTAGATATTTATAAAGGAAAGAGATGTCTATAAAGAGTTATATTCCCATGATTGGAAAAGGCAATTAAATATACCTCTCAGAAGGAAAATCCATGTTTTCAGACATGCAGTTATTGATTTTAAAATATTTCAATGTTACTTTAGAGTTCTTCATATGAGTTGTTTTTAAAGGCGTTTTCCTATTTTTGGAAGAGTTGTTCAGTTATGTTCCCCATATTTAAAGAAAACATAAAATATACGCTATCTCAGAAGGAAAATCAATAATTCAAACGTACGATTATTAGATTTTAAAATATTTCAATATTTTAAAGTTCTTACCACTTTTCAAAGATTTTATGTTTTAGAGCGTTTTCCCCCTTTTTGGGTGTTTCTCTGGATTCTGTAAGATGAGATCAGGTTTACTAATGTTATTTATACTTTCTATAAGCAATAATAAAAGAAACAGGCTTTGTATCTGAATTTTACTTTCTTAAAATATCTGTTTATCTAAATGTATTATAAACCAAAGATTATCATATTATACTGAAGAACTTATCTAGAAGGCATTTCAAAGCATTATATTGATTAAAAATCAGCTATAGCATTTTAAGTTTATGACCTGCCATAGAAAATAGAAGATGAAAAGGCGTTAAAGTTGCAGAGTCGATGAGAATGACTTAAACTGTTCAAAGAGGAAACTAGATAACTCGTAGCTAAACGAGTGTAGTTAGAGCTATGAAAGTTGCATATATGCTTAAAGGGCATATGAAATCAAAGACAATAAAGGTGTTCAATTTTAGTCAATTTTAAATTACTATTTTTCCTTTATTTCCAAGTAAATGTCACAAGATAATCCAAACTCACAAAAATCGCATTTAAATATCCCATCATAACCAGGACTTTGGTTACCTTTTCTCAAACCTTTGGTTTTGTCATTAAATTCTACTATTAAGCTCACCTCTATATATCTTATTCAAATTTTCAGTCGTTAATAGATACTTTTATTCATCCCTCAGTTCAAATACATTTTTAAACTTGTAGTGGATCATATATTAATACAATTTTTCGATATTAATTCCTTTAATTAAATGTTATTGGTGAAAATACAGTTTAGCTAACCATGGCCGCAGAGGTTCCAGGGTATACATTTAATAAAATACCAACCTAATAACAATAAAAGTAACTAAAATAAATTATTCGTATAAGCCGGAATTGACTTTAATTTTTACATTGGTGATTTTGATTTCTGATGGAAATATTTTATCTTTAAAATCTTCTTGGTGTGTTTCAAATCTTATTTAAAGTTGGAGTGGCTATTAAAATGACATTTTCACTACTGAAGATTTCTCAAGATTTTATGCACTCATAAAACCTGGGGTTTATCATGAATTTTTAAAATAATCATACATAGAATAAGACTATTCTTTTCTTTTATATTACTTTTATAGTGCAATAAAATAAAATGACAAATGACTTCTAGGAAGATTTCAGTGTTCAGGACTCGAGACTACCATAGCTTTCTAAATAAAGGCTACAATCAGAATAATGATCTATTTTCTAGATACGGTTATTCTCTGTGGAATCAGTTTACAAGTATCAGTGTGATTTAATTTGAATTTATTTGGTTACCAATATTAATATTACAGAAAGGAATCTTCAGTTTTTAACCCCATATTTATATAGTCACTTTTCATAATAAAACTATGCATCAATAAGACTTTCTTTAATGTTTCTCTAGTTGCAGGATCGTTCCAGAAGAACAAATGTTGCCTTAAGAGTACAGTTTTATTTCATTTTCAACAACATAACATAATCTTGAGTGGAACAACAAATCTTTCCTTAGATATGATTTTATTAATGTTGCACAGAAAACAACTAAGAAGACATTGGTGACGAATCCTGTAACCTTGAGTCTTAGTCAAGTGATGGGGACAACATATGAGCTGAATCCTCCCCTCAGAAACAAATCACACCGCGCTAATGGTAGTTGGGACCTCAGTGGGTTGACATGCATCAGAGGGGAGACATTTAAATATAGAGGTAATTTGAAGAATGCAACAGGCACATTCTTAATGCAAATAAAAATTGATGACTATAAATAGAGTTGAATAAAGGAGAAACGCATGATTGCTAGTATTTAACTATTGCAATAAGGTAAATAAGGTGGAGCTTATTTTGTGTCAAAAGATTCTCTTTTAAAATCAAAATCAATGAAATAACATTTAACATTAAAATGCCTATATTTACGTATCTGAGATTACGTAAGGAAAGTGGTCTACATGAGTCACGGACTAGCGGATGCGTTGTTTTCATCAGAGTCGTAGGTTTGAGTCTAGGCAATGCAGCCAATGAAAGCTTCCGTTATAAATATAATTTACAAATATTCCTGAAAAATTAAAAGATTCGATATTTAATTTCGATTGAAATAAAATATTCCTTTTCTATGATACTGAGTTATAATGAATCCCAAGGTAAAAAAAAACATTAAAAAATATGCATCATTTAGTTGAGATGTACCTACCAAAGTTATTCCAAGAAAATGCTTTTTGCGAAGGTCTTTCGATGAAAAACTAGCGACTAAATTTAAAATGCAAATGGAATGTTGTTACTCCGACAACAATTTTTGCATTTTCCTCTCTGCAACTTTTTCAATTTTTTCCCTCGCGTTTTAAAAGTATCCAAGAATTTATTCAGGGCTGGGAATGAAAGTTATGCAATAACCGTTTTTTAGCAGCAACGAAACGTTGTTCAAGTATAGAACTTTCGTTTATTCAATTAGCATAAAAGAAAAATAACAACTAATTGAAAAAGCAGAAGTTTCTTGGATTCAAACGTTAAATCTATTACTTCGAGAAAATTGCTTGCAAAGAATTTTTAAGTTGTAGAATAATGCTTATGTTCAGAAATTAAACGGGCAAAATACCGTTTTTTTCTTCTAAATTCAAGTAATTGCTGTATAAAAATATAGGGCATTAAAATTTTATTTTTTACAAATAATCTGTATTAATTCTATAGAATAGGAAATAAAGTAAATCATAATGCTACTATAACTAATCAATTCTTTAACTATTAATAATGAATTAATAGTAAAATTCTATTTAAGATGACATGAAAAGAAAAAAAAAAACATTACTTTAATGCATTTTCATTCGCTTAATATTCATAAATATTACTTTCAATAATTTTATCGCTAAAAATGTTCTGTTAAGAGAGAGAAAAAAATGAACAGAAGACCATTTTTAATCATACAAACCAAACGTGCTCAAAAATTGCTTGATAATTAAAACATAGCAGCTAAAGAAATAACTTTTGAGGAAGAATAAGCAATTATAACCATCGACCTTTTATTGATGTCTTTAATAGATAAAAAAAACTTCATAGAAATTTTCCTTAATGGAATTTTACAAGAGACTTTGCCTAAACATTCGACGCCGGAGTTGTTTTCACTGAGTCGTAGCTAAGTGTTCTGATACCACTACAGGTCCTCAGAGAAGCTGATTTACGTAAAATCTGGCCGAGTTTCCGAGTCCTCCCGTTGACATTAATTTGAAGCAATTGTATTGTTTCTGAGGGGTCATGGTCGCTAGCTTATAGCTGACATTGTTTCAGTCCAAACATGGTTCGAGTCCAGATGGTGCGCAACGGTAGCGCGTCTGACTACAGATCAGAAGATTGCGTGTTCAAATCACGTCCGGATCAACTGCAGCAGGAAGTGTTTCAACAACACATCACACATATTCATGAAAAATTCCGACTTGCCGTGAAAAAGTTTTTTTCCCCTCATTTGTCGGAATTCATCGTTGCCAACTAATTATAAGTTGCTTATCTATACACTAATTCTGCGACCCATCCTGACCTATGCCTGTCCAATCTGGAATCAAGCTGCTCAGAACCACCACAATAAATTAGAAATACTTCAAAATAGCGTAATTAGAACAATAGCAAAAGCCAGATGGTTTATGCGGAACGATAACATTAGAACCTCATTAAACATAATTAAACTTCAAGAATGCACTAATTGCACAACTATTAAATTTAATAATATTTTTGACAATAACCCAAACCCATCCATCCAAGAAACTAAAAATTACAAAAGAACCAACACAAAACGTATTTGCGCTTATTTTAACTCCTAATAAACACCATCTCTTTACAATCCAATATCTCAACCAGTAGGAAGCCTCCCTCTACCTCACAGAGATAGAGGGGGAAAGTTTCCATGTCACAAGTACTGAATTACACCCTATCTGAGTAGCTGCTCTCTGATTGGACGGCATCATTCACCCTGTTCTCCCACACCCCTCTGCAATGGATCAACTTAACTTTCAGCTAAATTAAACTTTTTCATAGTAATTTTTTAAACTAATGCATTCACTTAATTTCAATAGATATTTTTTTACTTTTTATTTTAATTTTTTCTTTTTAATTATCATTTTTAATTCTTAATTCATGGGCAAGTTAACTTAATCATGTTAAACTCATACCGGAGATTGAAGCCCTTTGGGCTAGGTTCTCTATAAAATACCTCATTACGAGTCCAGATGCTTTTGAAGACCAAACGTGCGTCGGGGCTGTTGCATGTTAAATCTATTGAGCTTCAAAGTACTCAAATGTTATCCTTATCATTTGACCAGGGTTCAAAATTACAAGCATTGCTTCATTTTCCCTGGGATTTTTCTGAGTGTGACATTAACAGACCGTCAATCAACCTGATTCTTTAAAACATCTTTAATAATTGATAGAATCATTTCTAATGATTAATAGCATATTTGTATAAGAATGATTTTTTTAGCCATATCGGCTTCTATTTATTTCTTCACTTATTGTCTAGCTCTATTCTAATATTTTTTAAAATATGCCACATAATTTTTCATTCAGTAAAATTGATTCTATTCCAATATTTAATTTTCTCTTAGTTATTATAATTAACACATTTTTATCGATTGATTGCTAATTAACGTCGCACGAGAGGCATTATGGGATATATTAACAACGGACTTCTTAATGTTGAACCATGATCAAGTGACGAAGATGACACCCGAGCTGAAACAACACTTTCCTACCATGACTTTGTGAGGAATTTGAGTCCTGGTAGAGAGTGAATGACTGTAGCGTTTTATGGAGTAAGATTGAGGCCTGACAAATTAACATGCATCAGCCTTTCTTTAAGATGAACTCAGTGGAATTGGCACTCGAATCTGTGACTCGATGGAGGCATCAACGTACAGCATAATTTTGAAGTTCGGTCAAGTAACGAGGATGACACCTGAGCTGGCACCTTTCTCTCCAAACTTCCACACCACGCCAATGGTAATCAATGGCTCACGAACCACCAACCGCAAGTCCACGACCCTTAACACTGTGCTACACTATGTCTCTTATCTTTCTGTCTCCTCTTGGGAAGATAAAGATAAGGGGAGACTGAAAGACATGGGATTAATAGACGTGGGAATATATTACTGATGAGTCTGATTCCATCCTGTGCGGAAATTTGTTATAATACTCAATTAAGTAAAACCTATTAATATTCTTTTGTTGAAGTGATGGTTTTTCCAACAGGCATAGTAGATATAATGAATGCTTATTGCTGTTTTAAATATTCAGTTAAGCCTTTATTCTTCTATTTATTTAATGTTTCGCTGAACGTTAATTATAAGTGGCGGAACAAGTGAACTTAACAGGTCAATTGAAAAGTCCCCGGCCTACCATAGTAAAACATATTTTTTGACAAAATTAGTTTTTTTTGTTCAACATAATCCCCTTCAAGGGTGACACACTGATTATAGCGACCCTCCAACTTTTCGATACCATTTTTGTAGTACGATTTGTCCTTTGCTTTAAAATAGGCCTCAGTTTCTGCGATCACCTCTTCATTCGACGAAAATTTCTTCCCAGCGAGCATTCTTTTCAGATCTGAGAACAGGAAATAGTTGCTGGGGAACAGATATGGAGAATACAGTGGATGAGGAAGCAATTCGAAGACCAATTCATGAATTTTTACCATCGTTTTCACTGACTTGTGACACGGTGCATTGTCTTGGTGAAGCAGCACTTTCTTTTTCTTCAAATACGGCCGTTTTTCGGCGATTTCGTCCTTCAAACGGTCCAATAACGCTATGTAATAGTCGCTGTTGATGGTCCTTCCTTTTTCAAGGTAGTCAATGAAAATTATTCCATGCGCATCCCAAAATACAGACATGCGCCATAACCTTGCCAGCCGACTGTTGCGTTTTCCCACGCTTTGGAGCGGGTTCATCGTGTGCAATCCACTCGGATGACTGTCGATTGGACTTCGGAGTGAAATGATGGAGCCATGTTTCATCCATTGTCACATATCGACGCAAAAAGTCGGGTTTATTACGCTTGATCATCTTCAAACACTGCTCCGAATCATCAACTCGTTGTTTTTGGTCAAAAGTGAGCTCGCGCGGCACCCACTTTGCACAGAGCTTTCTCATACCCAAATATTCGTGAATGATATGATGTACACGTTCAGTTGATATCTTTAGAGTGTCTGCTATTTCATTCCATTTCAATTGACGGTCATTCAAAATCATTTTGCGGATTTTTTTAATGTTTTCGTCGATAACAACCTCTTTTGGGCGTCCACTGCGTTCACCGTCTTCGGTGCTCATTTCACCACGTCTAAACTTAGCATACCAATCCTTGATGCCTGATTTTCCTGGGGCAGTGTCCGGAAACTCGGCATCAAGCCAAGTTTTTGCTTCAACTGTATTTTTTCCCTTCAAAAAGCAATATTTTATCAACACGCGAAATTCCTTTTTATCCATTTTTTTCACAATAACAAAAGTTGCTTCACTCAAAATGCTATAATTCACAAACTAATGATCCGACAGCTGTCAAATATTTACACGCATCTTTTGAAGGTTAGAGCTAAATAAAAAACGTATGGATTTAATTCTAGCAGCGCCATCTATGTGTCAGGCCGTGGACTTTTCAATTGACCTGTTAAATAATATACTATTGGCCACACATTCACCACAAATATTTTGAAAAAACTACTTCTAAATTAAAGAATAAGTGATATTTTGAATAAACATTTGTTTCCTTATTATTGTTCAATTATTTAATTATTCAATTATTCAATTTTAAACATGGATCTCAACTATTAAAAAAAGCATTCAAATGCAATGAAAATTTTAGCATTCAAATAGCATATTTATAGCTGTATAAGAGGTTTTAAAGCCGATTTACCTTCAACTAATCTTTTAGGACTCCATATGACTTTATTTGGTTTAAAAACCTCTGCTTCGGCAAATTATAATTGATATATTGAAGTACAGTTAATAAGAGTGATCAAATAGCGAGATTGAAAGAATTTATAAGCAACGCAGAGTTTGAAGTTGGAAGAATAAGCAATTTGTGCTAATAACGCTTAGGGTCAAGACATTATAAGATAGTCGGTTTGTTAGGTTGAGCAATTCACTATTTTCTCTTCACTAACCACAGATACTTTTTGGTAATTTGAATTGTATACAATTGCGACCCCTTGCCAACCCAAATGAAAAATGATTAGGTAAATTAGATGAAAATAAGAGATGTAGTTAATTGGATTAGTGATATATAAGCGTAATAGAATTGTAAAGAAAGTGAAAGAAAGAGAACGACAAGATGATAGTTGTTATAGACTGGAGTGAATCATCGTAATTAATCGTGTATATCGATAATTATTGAAAGAGTCCTAGGATCAGAATAGTAGGAATCGAATTCGCAAAAATCGAGAAGGGCTTGAATTAAAACGAAGGATTTGGTAAGCTAATATTTTATTAATAGAACTTAAACTAGGATTAACTGAGTTAAGAGGGATTCGAGAGAGAATAACATTGTATATTTTTTTGATAAATAATAAAATATGATATCCTGCTCTTGCGTTTCTTCGATTGGAGTTTTGAACAATTGACAATTTAATTAGATTTTATAATAGCTATATAGTTAATCAGCGAAGGAAGGGCCTCATAGGTTTGCTGAGATTGAATTTGGATTCCTTTCTGACTCGGCCCCACTTTTAATGTTAAATTTTAAATGAAAACATGTTCGTTATATAAGGACTTACTTCTGAACCATACTAAGGGTATAGCAAAATATAATTTTGTTTTATTTATTGGTTCTTGCTTGCTTGAATTTTTTATTGAGTTACAATGGATCAAATGCATGAAAGGAACGAAGCTGGGGCTTCACAAATTGGAGTACATATAAATAAACAACTTAAATGGAAGTGACTACTGTTTCTACGAAATCCGGACAATCCTCGTCTCTTTCTGTTACTGAAAAACCTTTTAAATTTTAATAGAGTTAATCAAGATTAAAGACAAGTTATTTAGGGAGACCTTTACAGTAAGAATCTAGAAATCTCTCCATTCTCAGCCTCATTTAATTTTTAAGGTAAAAAACATCTTGAAATTGATTTGTAATCCGAATATAACCTTATAAACTTAATTCCTATTGAATACGATGCTAAATAATAAATGATTACCTACCAATTAAATGATATATTTCGGTTGAAAATATATCTTGTAAGAGTACAGTAATTGTAAAATTAAAAAAAATAAGTAATCTCGAAGAAAAATAATTCAATAAAATAAATTAAGTGGATCCTTTTAGGAACTGGATATATTCATATTAAATTTTAAATGTAAAAGGACTAATTTGAGAAGGAATGATGGAGAGGGACGTATAAT